GATCACACTGGGTTTGGCATATGGATTCTCACGTGCAGGAAGTCGCGGTCGCCCGGTTACTTTGGGTTCAGGAGCTGTATTAGCTGGTGCTACTGGGACGGTAGGGGATTTCGCCGGTGGGGTTCCATTTTTGGAGGGTCCCGCATTACCGTCTACGAATGCTCTGCGCGGCAAACTTGTTCGGTAGTGTCGTTGGAGTTGGCTTTCTGCTTTAAGGGCGAAATTTACGGCTTGTGAAAGGGACCAAACCGAATTGAGCTCTAATTTTTATTGAAGACTCTCTTTCAAACCTCCAATGTACCGAGCCACAAGCTGATTCTCGGATTCTGACAAGTTGTTTCGGGCACTCAAACGGTAGAATTCCTCCGTATATTCATGGACCGGTCAGTTACCCTGCCGACACTGTTGATATTGAAGATATAAGAGTTGTTCGAAGTCCGTGGGCAAGAAATGCCTCCTCATGAGTTGCTTCAGACGACTCCAACTGCGGATTGGCCCTTTCCCTTCTCGATGTCGATTGTAGAGTAGTTGCAACCACCACGCACTCGCTCCACCTTTGAGACGACAAGCCACACATTTAACTTGTTTCTCGGGTTGAACTTCCATATAGTCAAAGAAGTTCTCCACATCACCTTCCCAATCCAAGTAGTCTTCGATGTGAAGTCTTCCGTCAAAGAAGGGGATATCCATTTTAATCCGGAATCCGTCAGTTTCCATCCGTGGCGGACGGTGCCTCTGTCCTCTAGTCGGTGGAGGAAAAACTATTTCGCCTTCGGAATCAGTTTGTTCTGCCCTTGGAATGTCTTCTTCGTCTGATTCTGAATACTCTGGCATAGGAACGGGAAATCTTCTCGGCGCAGGAGCTTGGCGGACTGGAGCCCTCAGCTCCGGTATGGTTGCCGGAACAAAAGGTCGCGCTACCGGAGTTGTAGCTGCTCTTATTTGGCGAAGCTCGTTTCGCATTTCCTCTGCGAATCGGCCGAAGGTGTTCATCAGATCCTCGAGCTGTTCCGACGTCTGTCGATGGCTCTCCCACAGGGATTCAAGACTCTGATCGTCGTCGGGTCGGGGGTGGCTGCTGCCTTCCGCCATTCTCACGAACAGCCTAGCTCTGATACCAAAATGGTGCAGCAGCAAGAAGGAGAGATCCACACAAGGGCTGAACTCAATGGAACAGTAAAACTGGAGAAATTGTATTGAAAAACTAACTGTCTTCTTTCTACAGCATCCGGCTTAAAAGTAAGAAACTAAGGATAAGAAAACTACTCATTCTAGAAACTGTGATAAAGCAGGAAAATAGTACTGTGATAACAGAAAAAGTATTAAAGCTAATGATAATAAAGTAGTGGAGTTTGTAATGACGGTAAGCTGAGCCGCCGGAGTAACTTAATAGGTATTGCCTGCATCAATGTAATTTGAATCAACATCATTAAGGCCTTCAAATGCTTGACGAACAGTCCACGATCAAAGGATTCAATATCGGCCGTCCATCCGACCACTCCCTATTTACTCCTGATCTCTTAACTATTTACAAACCATGCCACTCCATAATATCTATAAATATACCCCTCATTTCTCATGAGAGGAGGCCCGAGCAAGAAGAAGCCAAGGCCCAAGCAAGATGAAGCCAAGACCCAAGCAAGAAGAAGAAGAGAAGGATAGGAGGGAAGAGACACCTCCTCAACCATCGCCAGGATTCTGCATGACTTCCACGGGACTCCAGAATTTTGCCCAACTTCCAAGTGACACCAGAATTCCGCCCGACTTTCAAGTGACACCGGAATTCTGCCCGGCTTTCACGAGACGCCGAAATTCCGCTCGACTTCCAAGTGATGTCGGAATTCCGCCTGACTTCCACGGGACGCCAGAATTCCGCCCGACTTCCAAGTGACGCCTGAACTCCGCCCGATTTCCATGGGACGCTGTAATTCTGTCCGACTTCCAAGTGACGCTGAAACTCCGACCGATCTCCAAGTGACGTCAAAACTCCGCCCAATCTCCAAGTGATGTTGGAGTTTTGCCCAAATATCATCTAATGCCAGAATTCTCCTCGATCGCCGACTAACATCGGACTTCTACCCGACGCTGGATCTCCGCTCGTCATTAGATTTCTGCCCGACGCCGGACTTCTGCATATTGTCAGACTTTTGCCGAACACCTATCTGATGCTGGATTTCTGTACATTACTAGATTTCTACCTGATGCATCCTTCTGACTTATGTCGTCCACCGACTACAGTCCTTTCGACCTGTGTCGCCCGCCGACTACGATCCTTCCGACTTACGTCGCCCACCGACTACAGTCCTTCGAACCAAACAACAACATCAACAGTAATTCTTTGTATTATTATCATGTAATGTACTATATAAAATGTACATCAAGCTAAGGCCTTCCCCCAAGGAAGGGCCTCATTTGTAATCAACTGCAATACCAGTGATTTCATTCAAATTGGGCTAGGCCCCGTGGTTTTTCCCTCTTTTCAGGGGTTTTCCACATAAAAATCTTGGTGTCTTATAAATGCTACACACCCTCTCTCTTATTTGATTGCGTGTCGGATTTTCGTACAAAGCTAAGACATTAAACTTTATATTTCTCTATCGCCGTGAATATTCAGGACGCAACAATTATTATTATTATTATTATTATTATTATTATTATTATTATTATTATTATACAAATATACTATAATATTATAGTGCTTGATGATTGGACAGTTGAAACCTAAAAACTAAGATAAAGCGACAAGTATCTTTAATGAGTTATCTTTAATTGTGTAGCAATTCGATTTTACTAAACCACTATGAGTTATGAAGATATGACACACATGGACCCACCCTAATGCTCTTTAAATTATCCTCCACATAGCACCAAAGATGCATTAGAGAACATAAATAGCTTTCAATTGATATATTGATGTGACCTTTCTTAGAAGAGAACATTAGTGAGAGACATCCCAAGAGGCAAGAGGTGAGCATCGAAGGGTCATGAGATGGTGTGGAGTCCAAACCTAATTTTACATCCGGAGTATAAATTTACACAGTACAAAAGTATATTATATACATTTATATATAATATGTACAATTATGTAGAACATAACTCTACTTTCGAACTCCAAAATAATATCTGTTGAGATGATTTTTTGGAAGAGCGCAATTGGGTCCACAATTGTCATGACTTAAAGAGTCCATGTTAATGATGCCCTTTGCCCTTTGTCTTTATTATTATTATTTAACTTGAGTTCTGCCTAACTACTGCTGCTTGTTCGTATTATCTGCCTCGACCTCATCGGCTCGTCCAGTACCCGGTGGTTCTTCCTCCTCCAAGCTGGCCCGGCGGCCCTAACACCTCCACTAATCTTCTGCAAGTTCTATTTAGGTAAACTATCATTGCCTTTTTTGGCCAATCACCTTTGTTCTCTAATATCTCATGCGCTTGCCTTCATTTTGCGTGTGTCCTCAGGCTCTTAATTACTCTACCTCCCTCCTCTCTCTACTTCACCCCCCTCCATATGACTCTCATATTAAGAATACTGAAAAGATTTTTTTGGGGGATTTAGTCCTCTCCGGCTCTCTCTCCCCGTAGCCTCTTTCTTTCGAGTTTCTCCTCTCTCTCTCTCTCTCTCCCTGTGACTACTATGCTATAAGCTAAGATTTTTTTTTTTTTCTTTCGAGTTCTTACCCCTCATCTCTCTCTTCTTTCCCCAACAAGTGGAGAAATTTTTCTGCGCCATAAACAGCAGCTTTTATTCTGTACGAACACCAGACCGTCCGGTTAAGTACTGGATATCCAGCAGTATTTAGGGGTACAGAGTTAAGTACCAGCAATAAGGTGATGTGGCGCATTTTTATTGGTCTCCGGATGCCCTCCGCACTCCGCACAGAATAATAAATCAAATCCATCAACGAACTATCCCAAGACAAATCAGAGTGAACCACATCACCCGATACACAAGGCTGTACATTGAAAAAAAGTTATATGACGTGCTTTAATTTGCCTCTGAATGCCGTCCGGTAACAGTACAGAAAAAAATTTTAGCCTTTGGTTTTTACTTTTCTTCTCTCTTTCTTTCTCTTATTTTAAATTTATATTTTTATTTTTAATATATCAAAATCTCATTCATAAAAATCATAAGAACTGCAGTCAATAAAATACAGTTATTAAGATGGCTAGAGCAGGACTGCAGTCTTCAATTGAAATTAAATAAGTTTAAAAAAAAATTAGGTTTGACATATTTTTATTTATAAATATATTATTATGATACTATTGTAGTGATAAGAAAACATACTTTATGTAGATCTTCCATTTACAAAAAAATAAAATTCATAATAGATTTGGGGTATTTTTACAATTAATAATTTACATGCCCCAACACCAACAAAAATATTAGCTCCGCCACTGGCTATGCCCATATAGAGATAATATTGCATTAAGCTTGTAGGTAAATTTTGAGAATTATATGATCTCTTGTGGTGGAAGGAGTTCAGAGGTTGGCCAAATGGGTGATAGCGAGGGCCGCCACTACCACTGTGATGCACACATGTGGGGAGAAAATGGGGTCATCCATCCTTCTCAAGTCTACTAATTCAACTACATATATTACCATCATAAATTTTCTAAATTCAAAATCCAAATTACTTCTGAAATTATTTTCAAATTTTTTTAAATTTAATTTTAGTGATTTTTTATCATGAAACAGTAAGAGAGAAAATCATAAGTTTCATTTGGAACCGTTTTCTTATAGCTCCTTAAAACAATTTTTTAGTACAAAATTAAAAAGTTTAGTACTAAAAAATGATTTTAAGAAGTACTAAGAAAGCCGTCCCAAACGAAACATTAATCAATTGTAATATAAAAATTTAATTTTATGTTATTATAATAGTAATTAATACAAGAAAAGTTCAAGTTAATAATAGATGAAAAAACAGAACAAAGTCTTCTGGAATAAGATCAACATACACATCAGACGAAGTAGAAAATAGTCAAGCCCTACTAAGAAAATATAAATAACAAAAAGAAAGGTCTTCAATATTATTAAAATAAGGTATGATATCTATCCTCTCTATTAACAACAAAGAACAAATTTAAGAAGGAAAAAAAATCAATGAAAGCAATCAACCACTGGAATCCTATCTCCAATCCCAACACCAATCCCTGCCATCTTCCTCATCACTAAATCATTCTCCATCGGCGTCAAATTCAAATCCATCCACATAACTCCCTTTTTCTCAGCCTCCGCCGCTGCCCTGTGGCGCCTCATGTGTCCTCCGAGCGCCTGCCCGACGGCGAACTCTAGCCCGCAGATTGAGCACTCGTGCACCTTCGTCTTCACTTCCAGCGCCTCCCTTTCCCCTGCAACCTTGGGCTTCTTGTGGCTCGCCCTGTGGCCTCCCAGCGCTTGGAACGTCGCAAACTGCCGGTTGCACGACTTGCACTCGAAGATCCTCCCCGCCGGAGGCGATGGAACCGGCGGCGAATTTTTTTTGTCATCACCATCGTGGGAGAGGAGGATGAGGACTTTGGCCATCTCACGATCTCCTTCCTCGTGCTGGAGTCGAGGTCGTTTGATCATGCCCACCATGTGTTTGAGTAATTGCTCCAGTAGAAAGTAGTGGTGATTGTGTAGACTAGGCGTTGCGTAGCGTGTTATTTATAAGGTCATGGATAAGGAGCGCCGTGGCTGCCACGAATCTCGCTGCATAGAAATTTACGCTCTGTACACTGATTATAAGCTAACCTACCAGCATTCATACTCTCCATTTCGTGGCAGGGTACAAGAAAAGTTTATATATATATGTGAGGTACTTTCTAACTCAATTGATAAAGAATATAAAAATTATTATTAAATCCTAAAACAAATTTTTTATTTTTATAATTACCTTTTCCATGAAAAAAAAAAGCTTTTTATAATTTTCATTTAAAAAATCGTTTGTTTAAAATTTCTCTTGCTTTTTTAAAAGAAAATTAAATTGTAATTATTTACTCTATTTATTTTTTAAATAATTTTGATTAATAAGTTTTATGAGTTTTAAAATATTTAAAATGACATTAGATATGATGAATTATTATTTTAAAATATTTTTTCTTTATTAACAGGGAATTTTAAGATTTTTATTTTATTTTCATCATTTTTAATTAAAGAAAGTAGTGAGTGATGGAAAGAAGGGATCCTTGTTGTTTGTCTAACTTGTACGTGTACACTCGGATTGCTGCTGGGAGAAATATTGTTGGTTGAGGCCTATCCATCCACCCATTACAACCGCAGACTCTCTCTTGTTGGTCGCTTTCGTAGTGAAGTGTACAGCTTAGTTGTGGCCTTGTGTGTGGCCACAAAGAGCCCTCCATTGTAAGGAGTACATTTGGATAAAATTAAAAAAATTAAATCGAAGCTATTTTATTCGGTTGATTAGTTTAGGTTGTTAAAATTTCGATTCAATTATTTATTACAATTTTGATTTTCTTTGATTTTTTTTTTGCATTTATTTTTTAAATTTATCAAATCAAAAAAATAAGTTACTCGAATATTTTTAAATATTAAATCAATAAAAAATTTTATATCTAAATAAATAATTATAAAAAAATTAAGATATATATTATTTATCACACATGCTAAAATTAATAATTTTAACCAATATAAATCGTAACTATTCTAAATAAATATCATTTAAGCTAAAAATAATAAAGTTTATTATTACAATTATTATTATTTTGGTTTATCCAAAATCAAAACAAACAAACCAAAATAAATTTGGTCACCTTAATTCTGTTTGGAAAGTAGTTCTCCAAAATAATCAATTGGTTTAGCTAATTTACAAGTAGAACCATCCATGCTGACCTAATGCACACCTACACGCCAATTGGACAATCCCGACACATGTAACAAAGTACCTCATAAAATTCTTATACTTTTAATGGTGTTATAAATCTTGTGTTCTAAATAGACAAATGTGATAAAGATCTTGAGGAAGATGATTGTGACGATTGTTCTAATGCAGGACGTGAGGGAGACAGTTGTAGCTCTCTTGAAGAAGAATGTTCTAATGCATGATATATAGTGAGGAAGATAGTTGTGGCATGCAATATAGATTTTGTGGGATTTAGCTATGGTGAAGGCTCTATATGAGATTAATGCAATGTGCGTCTTGATAAATTGATACAACTTAGTTCTTTTAAGATATGGTTGCTCACGTATATTATTGGGATGTACTTCTTGGTATAGTGTAAGTTCAATTAATTGTTGATAATTGCAACATAAGTAAGGGTTCAGATGTAGGTCTTATTTAAGATGACTGTGACATAAGTTTTTATAGAAAATAGTTGCGATGTAGCTTTGTAAGAGAAAGTTGAGGCATGTCTTACAATTGATGATTGTTGTGTAAGTGAAGAATATCACATGCATCTTATAAGAGATTACTACATGTAAGTAAGCACGTTTCTTTTAAGTTACGACTATGTTATAAGTAAAGGCTGACATAAATATTATAGGTGGCATACAAAATGTATGTGAAAATTGTAGGATAAATCTTACATAGAAATGCAATGATGCAAGTAAAGTTGATATAGTAATACTCGAGACATAATCAAATGTTAGATTACAAAGCTACGGTACTAACAAAACAAGTGAACATTGAGACATGATTTATTAGATTTTCATTAAATTTTTACAAAGAATAACTTGACCCTTATCTAAAATATGTTTTATAATTATTATTAGTGGATGTTGCAAAATCACTCTTCTATGATAAAATTATGCTTAGATTATATCACAACCTAGCCTAGTTTGACCCTAATGTATAGTAAATTGTATTAGATTGAATCATAGCAACACGAGAACCTCAAATATTCAACCTTAAACTGAAGCCTCAACATCAAATCCAAAACATATAGTTACTTTCAATATTTATCATCATCAATATGAAGGGAACTTAATCTCAACGAGAGAACTTGGTGAAGAAGTTTTTATGTTAATCTTTTGTATTGATACTTGTTGCGTCCTGGAGTATTCGCGGCGGTAGAGAAATATAAAGTTTAACGTATTAGCATTATACGAAGATCCAGCACACAATCAGATAAGAGAGAGGGTGTAGCGTTCATATAAGACACCAGAGTTTTTACCTGGGAACCCCTGAAAAGGGGGAAAAACCACGGGGCCTAGCCCAGTTTGAATGAATCCACTAGTATTAATATTTACAGTCGACTACAAATGAGGCCCTTCCTTGGGAGAAGGCCTTGGATTGATATAACAATTGTACATCATATAAAGTGCATTACATGTTTGGAGTTACATATACATGTTTGTTTGGTTGGAAGGGCTGTAGTCGGCAAAAGACCGGGATCAGAAAGGCCGTTTTTCTTAATACAAAAAATTTGTATTAAGAAAAATTATTTTAAAAAATAATAAAAAAATTCCTAAATGAAGTCAAACGCTCTTCTATTCTTTAATGATATTATCATTGCAAAATATTTTTCTCGGTCTTTTTCATGTCATTACACTTCGTTGCTTGTTGTGCCGGGCAATCTTCATAAAATAAAATGTAAACCAAATTTTCTTAGTAATCTATTTTCTCCGAAGTTCTCTTAATCTTTGCCATTTTTTTTTTCTTCATTGGCATTGGATGTTCAGAAAAAATCAATTTTTTTTTAAAATTACTTAATCAAAATATGCTCCTGACTTGTTAAAGTACACTTTGAAAGGCGTATTTTCATATTTTGTGAAATAAAAACTTTTGAGCTTTAAAATGCATCATTTTTTCTTTTACATGTGGCAGGAAATGAAAAACAAAATAATGTTTTAAATAATGTGTTTTTATGTGAATGCTTTGAGAATTTGTTGATTAAGATTTTGTTTGAGATAATTTTTTTACTATTTCTAAAATAATTTTTTAGTACAAAAATTTCTTAAACTAAAATTTTTTTGTACTAAGAATTTGCTTTAATTAGGATGTCGTACGAAAGTTGTAGTTGGAGGAATAGACACTCTACTTCACCGTGTAAATTATTTGTATGAAAATTTCCATTAAATATTGCATACTACATTATTATCATCGATCCTTTTTTTTATGATTATTGTAAATCAACTTTATAAATCGTTGTTCTTATGAATTCATTTGTGACAACTTTCTTATTATTTTTATTTTTCAGATCAAAATCATAATTTCTGTTTGATCATTATTTTTTCGTTACTTTAAAAAATGTTTATAATATAAAACTATTTTCTACAATAACTTAAAATTTTACTTTCTCTATAACAATTTTATAAATTAAAAAAAAAAAAATTTTGTCCCAAATAAAATCTATAGTTCTTTTCGTAAATAGATGATCAAATAAGTGTTTTCTACTTTCATCAACTCCATTTAATTGAAGCTCATATAAACATATAATACTGAATTTTCCTAATTATTTACCATATATTTAGAATAATACATTAAAATAATATAAATTGTCATGAAGTTGTTGACTGTTGACTTCAATGGACTTCATTAAACAATTTTCTGCTTCTGCGGTTCTGCCTATTGTTCCTCTCGCTGGCTGTTCAATCGCCACGTACTTCCATTGTAGGAACAGATTGGTGGTTGCGAGGAATTAGAATAAATATATATACAGATAATTAATTATTTTCCATTGAAATGTTTATCAGATTCAACAAAAATTAAATAAAGCAAACAATAATTAATATAGGGAGATACTGGTAACCTATTTTGGGCAAGCCGGATATCTTACACAATAATCTAAGGCTAAAAGCATTGTATTAATGCGATAGCAACAGTTATCAGAATGTTTTTGTTGCCGCTTAAGGTATGTTATTAATCTTGTTTATGATGTAATTAACAAATATGTCTGCTTTGATTAATCCTTTATCAACTACTGACAAATTGATTATTGTTTCCATCTACCAAAACCAGAAGCTAATCAGAACACGCTAAGGAGTAAGGTCTCTTTTGCACTCCTACGTCACGAACACGAAAGAAGAGATAGAAAAGTTGAGGATGACATAGGCTTGCTGAGACAAATCTGCTTCATGTTGAGACGAGGAACTCGTTATGTAAGAAATGAGAAAAATAAAATACTATAGTTTTATTCGATTTGTCTTCTAACTTTTTCTTTTTATTGAGATATATCTTATTACAAGTTGTTTTCTTTGTTATATAGCTTTTATTCTGCAATTTTAGTAGTAGCTTTTTTTTTTTAAATAAGGTTTTTTTTTTTTAACAGTGGTTTTTTTTTTCTTAAACCAGCCTACCTGTTAGTAGACCTTAAAATTATTCTATGCGGACACCAGAGGCCGTTCATAGGTAAATCATGATCCGTTACATCATTTTTTAGCTGTGTATCAGGGTATGTACCGGGTCATATGAAGCATCATGATTCACCTCAGGGCCGTCTGGTGACCGTACAGAATAATTTATCTAATAAATCCCCACTGTAAAATGTACGAAGAATGCATATTTTTAGTACTAGTTTCATAGCAACTCTAAAAAATTATAGCAGCTCAAACAGTCCCTAATACTCACCGCATGTGTAGGACACTTGGATTTATTCCAGGTCGTTCGATTGCTCCTGGTAGCTGTTAATTGGGGTTCTGATCTGGATGCTTATTGTCGTTGTTGCATTTCTTTATTGGATTTTTGTTGTTTATCTTATTTGCTTTGCCTTTATTTTTTTGTAATACATAGAATCTAAAGCTTTCAAGTTTTATTTCAAATATTATTCTTTTAGCGAGCTTCTGATCCTCTTAAAATTTGTAATTTTTACACT